CAGCAAGCCCACCACCGTCCTTCTTACCCCTTGGCCAGATCTTAGGGTTACATGTCGTCATTGGGTGTTTCGAGACGGGAGGGGTGTAAAATGAACGAGAAGTTACAACGTGTAATCAATCGAAGCGACGTGTCGAGGTTGGGCATCGAGACCATCACTTGCAGCAACCCGTGCCCCTCACCTGGCCTCTGACGTGGGCCTTTGAGGAAGCCCTGCGACTCTCTTTGGCCGAAATGGCTCGCTGGGACTGTTCCAATAAGCAGGTCATTCTGCCGGCCGCGAAAACGGCCAGCTGGGCTGCTTTGCTGTCAGTCGGGCTCCTGGCCTGGGCCACCTCCATACATCGATTGCGCAGGTACCTGCCGCATCGTTGTCACCACTCTGACGACTCAATTCCAAAGCCCTGCTCTTTCTACCCTAAACATAGGGAGTTGACTCGAGCCCAATGCAATTGCAGGGCCAGCGTTCAATTCCGTCAGGCCGGCTGGTGCCCAGCGAGCCTGGCATTTTAACTGTCTCTTTAATTGCTGGTGCCAACCCTCTTATGGATACCGAGCATAGAATAGCATCGATCGACATCAACTTCAACACCATCACACATCCACCCATCCACAATCCTCCTCACATTACATACTTCCCGACATGAGCTACAACCCGATTAGTGACGTATCTGCGGATCAGTATCGCCACCCGGATCCCAACGCTCGCTACCAGCAATGGCAATCCTCATCCTCTTCCTCGGGCTTCTACCCAGACCAGCAACCCTCAGACCCTCGCTCCTACGCCTACAGCAACCACTACGCCAACCAATCACACTCTGGATCCCAGTTTCCCTACCGCGTAGGAGGTGACTACAATGAGGTGCAGCAGGTAGAGGAGCACCAAATGTGGCAACCTCAGGAGTACGGCGGTGCATCCTCGTCCTCTGTCGCCACCTCAAGTCCCCCAAACGCCTCGGACGAGGCTTACATCTGGACGGGCTCTGCAGAGAACAGTGATCGCAATCTGTGCCAATGCGGCAAAGCTTTCCGACGTCCCTCTGATCTTGCGTAAGTTTCAAAGTAATGCAACTCTCTCAGAGACTAACACGCAACTAGGAAGCACCAAAAGTACCACATCAAGTACTTCTCTTGCCTCTTCTCAGGCTGCGACAAGGCCTTTGCCACACAGAAAGACCTGACAAGACACATGAGAACGCACCGCAAGGGCGAGGGCTACCAATGCAAAGTAGAAGGCTGCCGCAAGGCCATGTCTGGCCACGTCTACAGCCGCAAAGACAACTTTGATCGGCACATGAGGACTGCGCATCCGGAGCACCCGCATATCTGAGAGAGGCGAACAGTGACTCTCCCATGTTGAACGACAGAAAGAAATGACACACACGACGTGGCACTGCAGAAGCCGCCCACAGACAGAAAGAATTGTGCCAGAACGACATTTGAAACGACCGGTACGACATGAGACACGCACACAAGCAAGCAAGACACGGGTGTCTCTGCAAAGCTGGATTGTATTTATTATGGAAGGGGCGTGTGTTTGGAGTTTATTTGGTTCTCAAATAGAGAGGATGCCGAGGTTTCGCTCATACTTTTTACACTTCTTGTAAAGACTTTTTATTCTCTTTCTTTCACCTTTTAGATGAGATTATGAAGTCACTTGGCAGGCCCGGGGTTTATGGTCCTTTATATTTTCTTTTTTTTGATTTCTTTCAAGTTTCTTTCTCATATACATAGTTTGAAAGCCAATATGTTGAAGAACGAACCAGATATTGCGCCTATTCATATGCTCCAACTTTATTTTCACCAGCAAGCGAACAATAGGTATCAAGACTTGAAGAGACGCGAGGGTCACTGAGGGTGAGTGAGGCCATTTCACAGCATGTTTGTGTTACTCAAGCCGCATGTTAATTTACAACTGAGCAACCTGACCCAGAATTACGACGACGACGACGAGAGTTTTTTTTCATCCGTACTGGATCTCCCTACCAGGTTGGCGAAATTCCTTGCTTTTGGACATTGCCTCGTTCCGTCTTTTGTTTAACCCAGTTATCCCAGGTACTTCATATCCTTCCAGGATACCCCGGTTCTCTCGCTCCGCCTCAAACACGGATGTTTCATGACAACCAACAACCAACAACCAACAATGGCGTGTTTATGATACTTTACGGCAGTACTGAGGCCTGGCTCAGAGAGGACAAGCTGGTTACCTGTTCGATTGAAATGTCAGTGATCTCTGCCTTTCCTAACAGTGTTGGAAGAGTCTTTTTCAAGTACTCCAATTCTTTTCATGGATCGAGTCTCGTCTCTCCATGAATTAATGTTGGAGGTGCCCGGACCATCCGCTTTCTGCAACCCCGCCACGAGGGAGATACGACGGATCGCAATGCTTACCTGTATTGTACAAGTACACAACCTCCGTGGGCTACAAAAGAACGCCATCCTCCTCTCATTTCTCATCTTCATACAACCCTCTCAGCATCGAACGACACCGTTTCCCTCTTTAGAATGTCTTCACAAACCTCCTTCGCGATGGAAAAAGTACTTGATGCCATTGTATCTGATTTCAGGATGCTACAGGAGGAGCATCGGAAACACGGGGATGTGCCGTTCGAGTATTTCAATTACTCACAAAGCTACAAGCGCCCCAGGCCATCCGCTACAGCTTCTTCTGCCCAGGCAGCTTCTTCAACAAACCCTCCGGTACCAACAGCTAACAGCCTACTGGCAGCAGTCGGATGTGAGCACCAAGACGGACCAGATGAATTTTGGCAGTCCAACAAGAAGCTCTTTGCCAAGAAAATCAGACTGGGTCTGCAGAATGGCATCGACATGAATATTACCTGGACTCAAAGCGAGATGGACCCCCCTTTGCGCTACATGGAACCTTCATACGGGGGGTTCTGCTATCACATTCCTCCTCTGCCACTGGGTCCCCTTTGGTTCTTTTACAACACGCCGCTCCATCAGGCTCTAGTTCACAAGGACTTCGAAATGGTAGAGTTGATTCTTCAGTCAGGTGCAAACCCGGACATATACAACCTCTACGGCTGGACATCACTTCATAAGGCCCTCTTTGAGGATCGTCAGGATGAAATCTCCTTCTTGCTCAACCATGGAGCTGACGCAAATGCTCCCACAATTGGCAACAAGTTCACCCTTTATAGCGATATCAGAGCCGATGGCTCTGCGGGTGTTTTACCTATCCACATCGCCATGTGGCTTGGAAACCTTTCTATGATGCGTTTACTTCTGGAAAATGGGGCAAACTGCTCTTGGATTTCCTTAGATGGATGGAATCTCCTGGATCTTGCTCTACTGGCCGGGAATCCGCGAGCAATGGCTATTCTAATGTCTCGTGGTCTTCATCTATCACCATCGCCAGCAACAATATCGTCGTTGCCCGATGAGAGAAACTCCTCAAAGAAGCTCCTTGCGGTTTCAACCAACAGACTGCTCGTCCCGCCACCTGAGCTATACCCAGTGTACTGTCATATCATGTCTCGGGTTGACTATCCACAAAATGACAGCTCGGCTCATTCAGAAATGATTCTCCAAACAGCCGAGAGTATGATTGAAAGATTCCTCGACTGCCTTCACAGAACGGCTGTATCAAAGAGCTGGGAAGGCCGAGGAAACCTCTGCAACCACTGCTACAAGTTTCAGTCACTGCTACGCCACCACTCTGTCAAGGACAGCTATAACGCAAGATTTGATTTCCAAGTTCATGAGACCTGGCAGCAACTGGAAGCATCTGCGTCCAACAGTTGCCCCTTTTGCAATCTCATGGCAGACACTCTGGACCACGCACGAACGCACATGGGGCCAGCTAAAGGGGAACCCTCCTCATTGGGGTCCAAAGATGTCCGCATAGAATCTGAGACTCAGGAAACCAGCAAAGCTGTCATTCTCCATGTGTCTGATGACATAGAGGTTCAATGCGGACAGTTGTATGAGCGGTTCCAGGTCTCAGAACAAGATGAAGACATAGTCTCTAATATCAAAGTTACCCATGACGAGGAGATTCTAGGAACTGGCTCGGAACAAGCTTTCTTTACGGCGAGAGCTTGGCTTGGAGATTGCAGGTGGTCACCACGGCACTCGGCTTGTCGACAATATGCGAAGGACTTGACCGCTAAGAATGAATACCCGTTGAGGTTATTGCGAGTCGGAGATGGCCTAGATCATATCGTACTTATCGAAGGCGTGACTGACTCGATGCCATATACTGCGTTATCTTACTGCAGAGGGTCGTCAGACATCGCAGCTCAAACGACACAAGCCAATCTTGAGGCACGTATGAAGGAGATTCCGCTCGAGAAACTTCCAACTCTTTTTCAAGAGGCGATACTGGCAACCAGAGGTTTAGGAATCGAATGCATCTGGATTGAGGCCCTCTGCGTTATTCAAGATGACAGCCAAGACTGGGGTTATCATATTCAAAGAATCCCCGAGATATTCTCACACGCCGAGTTGACCCTCTCCAGCTTGGTTGCAAACAGTATCTCGGATAGACTATTTCGCCCTCGATCTACTCGGTCACTATCCTTGGTTCCCATCGAAGTATGGAGAAGCAAGAAGTTCCGCGGGCATTTTAAGGCTGGCGTTAATCAATGCTATACATTGTCACGAAGGTGGCTGACCAAGCGGGATGTCGCGACGAAGGGCCCGGTTCATTCTCAAGTCTGGGCATTCCAGGAGCATCTCTTCAGCCGCAGGATATTACACTTTGGGGATGGGATGCTGCACTGGGAGTGCCCTTGTAGGTACACAACAGAAGCAGATCCAACTTCGACGCATTCACTGCCCATGAGTGAGTGGAAAGAGGCAAGAAAGACGCTGCTTCAAGGGGGATCTTCTGTCTTGTCCACTTTCTGGATGAATCAGGTCGAGAGATACTCCAAACTGGCACTATCCAAACCTTCGGACCGACTACCAGCTTTCCTCGGATTCTCGAGGTATATGGAGAAGCAGCTCCAAGTCACGTGCCTTGGAGGGATCATGATGGGAGAGAATTTGCTTCAAAATCTCTGCTGGAAGACCGAGCCCTCTGACACACAGGAAGTTGTTTTGCCCACGTGGACGTGGGTATCTCAACCAACTGACGTGTCATTCTGCTTTGCCCCCAAGCCAGAGACGCACGAAGGCATTATTCCGCTCGCGGTATTAGTCTCAACTGACGCCAAGGTTAACGAGAGCACATTACAGGCCTCGGGCTCTCTCACACTCAGGGGATCTCTTTATGCCTCACGTCTCCTCAAGGACTTCTCTATCAAGGTAGATAAGAGACCGCTCTCGCTGAATCCTTTCTGGGACCGCAAGGCCTACGAATCGCGAGAAGACTATTACGTCTTTGATTTGCTGGGCTATAGCTGCGAGAAGAATCAAGCATGGAACACTTACGGTGTCAAGAAGTCGCATCCTGCCAAGATGCTCCTGATGCTGGAGCCAGCCGACGAGACTCTCACTCGGTTTCGCCGGCTGGGGCTTGGATTCTTGGGGTGGAAGGATACGTATCCCCCGTATGGATATGCACCTGTCAAACCAATATGGATCGATGACGAGACTCAGTTTGAGCACACCATCACTCTTGTCTAAAGGGCCATGTTGTGTAATGTCTTTTCATATAAACCGTTTTCTTACTATCGGAACCCACCGAATTTGCTCCCCGAATGCCGATATTAGAACAATATATCGGCCGCATATTAGTTAAGCCAAAGCATGTCGTTGACGTTGAATCTCATCGCTTTAAAATCAAGAGCAACCGACGGTTCTCCTATATCCCTTGATCCTCTAATACTATCTTGTAACATGACTTGTCGTATTTCTCCGAATGGCAGCTTTTCGTCGACTTCTTCCCCAGATTTGGACTGACCCTTGATCTTGGCCGATAGGACTTCCAGGGCCGCTACGTAACGCTCTACTGACTCTTCTACTTGTGAATATGCTCTTAGTAGTTGAATTGGTTAGCTTTAAGCGGTATTGGCACCCAGGTCCGTTGGCCCGAACCGCTCAGCCAGAGGAACTGTCGCTGCTGTATTATTTGAGTGACTGGGCTCCTCATGGTCTGGGATGGCCTTCTTACACAATGCAACAAACTACTATGTAGGAACTGGGCTCGTCGCTGTGTTATGGGCCAAGTTTTGCTGAAATATGCTGATGGTCTCATGCGCAGCTTCAAAGCAGGGAACGAAACACTCTTCTATAAGCTTTTGTGAGACACTCTCGTCTGTCTGCAGGTGCTCTCAAAGATCTTTTGGCTCCGCCCGCTTGAGATAGAAACCGGCAACTATTGGTCTAAGAACTAGTTTTATCGCATGAAGATATCTTTTGATTCCGTCAGCTCTTCAGAGCATTAACAAGAGAAATCCCATCACTCGCCGCACTCGCAGGACGATATGCTGTAGTTGGAAGAGAAAACCTTCATCCGTACTTGTGTATATATAACTAAGCTGCTGAGATATGGAACGGGTCAGGAAACAAAAGTCCAGAAACCGTCTTCTTTTACTTTTCTCTCTCTGAGATTTATGTATAGTTGAAGAAGAGAGCCGTTAATAATACTATAAAGCTCGAGATTAGATAAAAAAAGGCAACTTCGGCGGTTCTGCCATCGGGAAGAACTACGGCAGGGTTTGCTTGCGTATCTAGAAAGCCATTATCTATCATCAGGGGCAGTTGGACAGCGTCATAAAGCCAGTCTGCTTTCATACTAGGGCGTCCAAAGATCATCGATAAGACGCTACTATTATGTTAGCACGAGCTATACTCATCGTCCATTCAATTGCAGTTAATTAACCATGACTTCTTTGTCCGTCTCTGGGTTGTTGCCGGGTCGTGACACGATTGGCTCCTGTTCCGTGTGGATAACCTCAGCCATGACATCAAGGCTTAGCATCCACGGAATAGGGACACAGAGGAAGCCGGGTGATAGGGTTACTACGACAAGGGACTTGGCAATGTACTGCCCTAGACCATCGGTTGCATGGTTTCCTACTGCCAGCGTGATATCAAGGTCGCAAGGCTATCTTAAAATCAAATGGTAACCCACAAACAAGGCCGAGATTCCACTTCATAGTAGCTTGGAGAGCAGCAGCAATAAGGAGCTGACCAAGAGTTAATTTATGCAGTTCATCCTCGACGTAACAAGTCTATTATTAGTCTAGGTAAACCCGAGTCCCTACGTGTCGTTTTACAAAAGGTTTTTCGCCACGACGTGCAGGTTAAGGATGAATTCGGGCGTTCCAGTTAACAGCGAGGCGGACAAACGTCTCCCAAGTCCCTAGTGCATCATCGATTCCTCGCTCTGAACTCATTGATCTCAACGTTACTAAGATACATACACCACGACTTTGAGGCTGACTGAGCAGGCGCTCATCATTTGACAAAAGAAGGGCATACACGATAGCTTTGTCGTTTATCGATAGATGCTCCACAGCGAATAGCTTCTCTAAGTTTCGGAGCTAGGGGCAAAAAGAAAACTTCTCCGGTACAGGGAATCGAACCCTGGGCTCCGCGGATAAGGATCTCTCAACTGAGTTGATGAGAGCGCGAAATGTTAGCCACTACACCATACCGGATTGCAATTGGTTCAGAACAAAAGCTTGCAAATAGCGAACATGAATTGAAACGTCCACAGCTGACTAGTCACCTCGAAGAGAGTATCTGTACTTTAAATACGATATCCAGACCCAAATGAAAGTCCTATTTGAAGAAATTTGAGCTTCCGGATGTCCCTCTTTGGTTTCAGAGGGGGTGACGGGTTGGCGTTTTCAATACCCAGGATAGGGGTCTCGTCAAGAGGAATGATCTTGGTCTCTTGTACAACTTGAATTCAATGTGTAAGATCGCGATGAACGGAATGTTGAAATAGAAGACACAAATAACTTGGTATTCTAGTGACCATGGACAACGTTCTGTTATCCGAATGCGATAAGGATTAGTATGAATATGCTGATACAGACCTGGTTGAAGCCGTGCTGGAAAGGAGATATGTAGGGCAGCTCGTTACGGTCGACTTCTTATTTCTTACAACCGTAGGAGAAGCGAAGGTAGGTTGCCAGGATGGCAGTTCAGTTGACCAAGATTGCGATAGACAGGAGATACTGTATCCAGGTAAAGACAGCGGACACTCCTTGAGACGTAGTCAAGTATCCTAGAACCGTAAACAGAGTAAAATAGTGACGGCCACGTATTGGCTCTGGAAACGGTGGAGACGAGCAAAGACGCGAGGTGTGTGTCCATTCTTCGCCAGACCAAAGAGGTAGCGGACATCACTCATCATGCTGTAGTTGCCGCAAGACTAAGCTGAAGTCACGATGATGGCGTTGACATGCGAGATAACTTTGATGCCAGCCAAAGAAGCAGAGATAAAAAAGGGAGACGCAACATTACCCCTTGACTTAAGGAGTCTATCATCGTTGGAGAGAACGACCGGGCCGACTGGGAACATGGTCATACTGTAGAAGATGAGAATTCACGAAAAGACTTGCTTGGCAGTCTGAGGAATCATTGGAATCACATCTTCGAGCATTAGCGGTCTCAACAGCGGCTAGGGAGATAATTTCAGTTTCAGAGGAGGCTTAAAGAGCATCCTTTAAGGTAGTGTATAATCCCAAGGACCATCCGAGAGATCCTTGGATGCCCCCATATTGCACAAATGCGGCTGGGCCTGTGGTGAAATTTGATTAGCATTTGGAGTTAAGAACCACAGTAAGTAATCACCAACCTTTCCATTATCTGAACCCAAGAACTTCGTCATTGGGACCGCCACCGGCGATGATGACAACTGTCATGATGTTGATGATAATGGTCAGGACAGTCAAGAGTAGGGCAAGGTCGAACTCTAGCTCACCCAAGACTAACGAATAGACAGTTAGTGAAGCCCATCAAAAGTCCAAAAATGGCAATCCACTGTAGATATTACTTAGAAAACACACTTCCAAATCTTAAGAGGAAATTCCCACCACAGCGTTGTGAACTTCGGCCCAGAACGACATCAGAACCGCAGCGGCAACGATTTCAGCGAGAATATAGATGAGGCCCTAGTATGCCAGGTTCCTGCCATTAGAAAACGACAAGGCCTAGCCGACAAAGATCGGCATATGTCACGATGCCTCCACTCAACGGAACAAGGGCTGCTATCTCAACCACGGCGAGGACATCGCCAGCAGCCGAAAAGCAGATGAGGGTGTATCCAGGAAACGCTCTAATCAGCTTATCTTGAGTGACGGCGCGCCCAGATCCGAGGAACAGACTAGTTCCAATGGTTTTGGTGAGGGCCATCATCTGCAGGCGACGCCAATGAAGGCCTTTGTTCATGTCCTTGAGCTCCAACATGTCCCAGGGTGTATTTGCAACGGCGACTTTCTGAGTGGCTATGGTGTTTTTAGTAGCATTTGATGAGTTATTTTTGGCTTTGTAGGCGATGGACTTTCGTCCACCTCCATCTGGTTGACCTTAGAAGCCATGATCAGGGGGGGAAGTCAAAGAGAGAGAAGTTGGGGATGCTAGAGATAATTGATGCTTCCAATTACGGAATTCTTTCAACGAAGAGAACTTGGGATGATTGCTAACCCTCAAACTGGGAGCTTTCCAAGGGGCCAAATACCCAGCAGCCTCTTAGCGAATGAGTCTGGGCAATGTCGACTTTCGCCAGCGATATCCGGATGTCTAAACTAAAAAGCAAAGTGTCGATAGGGACTGAGTAAGTCGTGGATACCCCATGATATATATTCTCACATTTCCGGGGAAGCGGAGGCGATGGGCTCTCATTCGAGGCCGCTTCGCGGTGTACTATCAAGATAAGCTTGAAGATTTCGGACCACGATGCCACTGTAACCTCCAAGTCTTGGTCGGCGGTGGTTCTCTGTCATCCTGCGAACGGTGGCGACTACAACGGTCTGGTAGTGCTGGTGAAGTTATCTTGCTTGCTCGAGTCGCACCTTGCGGAGCGCCCTATTGTCGAGAGCCAGCATCCAATTGAGGGTTTTGCTATTACACGGGAGATTGGCGATTGCCTCACACGTCATGTTTCCCTGACTGTGTGTTACTCGGGTGAGGAACACTTCCGGAGCTTGTAAGTGATAAAGTGGCTCCCTTTTCGAGATCCTGTGAATTCTCCAAGCAGTTCTGGAGCAAAGCACCAAAGTCCAACCCAGTTCAAGACTCAGACATTATGGGACTAGTTCAGGAAGACGCCATGTCTAAAACCTTCGTCCAGACGGCGCAGGCCTTTCACAGAGCCCTGCCCAAGATGGGCATGGCCACCAGGGCAACTCATGTCGATGACTTCTCAAGCCCCCATCGCGCCATTGCACCCCCATCCAACTCGCAGTCAACTATCGATGCCACCGAGACCCTAAGCAGTTGGTGCCAATGCAGAACAAAGACGTGAGTTACCATCTTGACCCTGTCTCTTCAGAGCTCAGCTGACTGATAGCAGCCAAATGCACCATCCGGCTCCCACATATACTCACGTTACACTGCCCCCAACTCAGCCCTCTTCGAGACAGTCTTGCATAATCTCTTTGGAGCGCTGATGTTGTGACATACTCAAGTGCCCTTGTTTCATTCCACGCCACCATAGCCCTCCTGACGCCCAAGTGCACCTTTATCGGCGAGGGCTACCACGGCGTTCACCGAAGCATCAAACTCCAGTACCGAGTTACAGGAGGAGAGAAGCTGGGCCTGGATGATCTGAACCAGCTCGGGCGCGGGACCTTCTGCACATTGAGACGCCACTCAGTCCCACTGGGGAAGTCCGCAACGTGGAATACTATGTCGCAAAGCCACGTCAGGCTGGGGCTTACATCTCAGTCGATGCGACCTTTGCACCTCCACCCCTGCAGGATCCTCTCCAATATGGTGTCGACATCTTCATGCATAGCCGTATCAAGTACATTGGGGGCCGTTCCTATTTGCTCTGGGGCATTCCGGTTGTGCATCAAGTTCGAAAGGAGTGGGCCGGGACCTGTATCAGGCTCGCGAAGTGATGGGATCAATCGCGGGTCGCTTAAGAGCTGGCTCGGTATACGATCGCTGCGAACCATCCACCTGCGCGTGATCAGGCAACCTCAAACTGCCGAGAAGCTCATGTCTTGGCTCCACGAGGGGGCCCAGAAGTCTGGCTCTCTAGTCGCAAAGATGATCGACAAGGTACAGCATGCGTCTCTGTAAGAAGCAGACCTCAAGGAGGGGTGGATACGAAAGCAGATGCCCGGAGGCATTGGGCCAGTCTTTTCCATTTGGATGAACAAGGTGAAACACACGGAGACTGCCGAGTAGGCTGTACATCCTTCTGCATGCGATAAGTCTTGGTGGTGTCAAGAGCCTGATGGAGCGGCGCGCCATGGGCGGCGAGGGAAGGGACACCAGGCTGATCCGCGTCAGCTGTGGCGTAGAAGATGTTGAAGACATGAAGGCTGATCGGGATCTTCCGTAAACAGTAAACATCAATTGCATATTGGATAAATAAAATAAACGTATGGGATCCCAAGATTGGAGTGAATCCCTCGAGTGAGTGAGCCCCGCACGTGCAGGAGTGCATGACAGCGCTCAGCCTGGTTGGCGCCTATCATCCGTATTCGGAAGGTGATTACTTACAGGCTTAAGAACACGACGGGCCTCAAAGACCTGCATAGTAAACAAGGACTTTAGGAAAAGTAATTGGACACTGACTTACGCAGCCAGTGCAGCCGGTGCAGCCAAGTGTCAGCAGGTACACTTTCCCATGAACAGCCTGATGCGTCCACTACCGTCAAAGACGCAATTATGCGGGCGCGCAAGGGACCCAGCCACTCGGTGTTGTGCAACCCGACCCGACTTGAAGAAGTTCAGCTTGCCAGCCGGCATGGAAGCATGCATGGAACCTTTGCTGCCGGGTTCAGGGGTGCAGATCACACACTTCCATAAGTCTTCTCGAACGTCAGCGTTGTGTTCCTCAACCTGCAGCATGCGCCCGTACAAGCCGCCCATGAGCATCGATAGAAGAGCATGTTATAGCCCAGCTGTCTAGGAGCTCATGCAGGGTGGTCAGAGAAGCGTGGGTTCCGTCCTGTGTCCATCATCATCTGTTCGTCGGCACCGTGTGATACGAGCCAACCCCTTATCCTGATCCAGGATTAATGCTATCTGTCAAGTTTCAACGCTGCTCTGCCTCGTGCACGGCCCAATGTCGCATCGCTCTCTCCGGGTTCGTTGGGGGTAAAGTAATCACACGTGCCGAGAGGTAGCACAGCTGAAAAGAGGTTGACAGGGGGTCGAGGAGACGGAAGACGTGAGATTGTAGATCTGGATGGCAGTGGGGGCGGGATAACGAGGTAGTACCAAGTTTTTATCCATCAGTATCGGTACGGGGTTCTCTACAATCACCTCAGAGCTATTGCTGCATTCTCATGTAGGTACAGTGCAATGTCCGAGTGGTCCGCTCTTCTCTCACATCTATCCATCGTTGACGGGCGCGAAAGGCCCACGTGCTGCGTCAAGGGGCAAGGAATCTGAGCACAGATCGACAAGTCCTACAGCTCGCACAGCTCGCATGATGGACCCCGCGATTATCGAGGGGTCAAGCGGTCCAGTCGTTCACACTATCCCGTTTCAATGAGCCAACTAACCAGCTTATCCCAGCAACGGATCCCTGATGCCTGTCACTCGCGTGGCAACAGGGTTGGTTCACTCCCCTGTGTCACAGTAGTTTCTCCACATTGATCACACGCTAAGGGCGTTGCTCTCGTTTGAGTCTTGATCTCCCGGGTGCCTTCATCTGCAACGCGGCGGGAAGACTGGCTCATCTGCCCGCCCCCTCAATCTGTATCTCTTCCAAGTTGTGGTTCACTCCGTACTGACTGGAACTGACGGCCTTCGTGTTGGAGAGACCCATGCATCCTAACTCTTACCAGCAGTAGTATAAATAGGAGATCGGATTCCCCTTGATGGCAGGAAAACTCGCCTTCTCCAAGCGAATACTTCTCATCTACTTGGTCCTCTTCCCTCTCAACCTCTCTTACATTATACGATTCCTACCTGGCCAATTTCCAGGGTTGTCTTCAAGTTCCTTTGAGAGACTGGCTGCCCCCTTCTCCACACTACCTCCCACTACGAACACACACGACAGCGAATCCATCATGGCCAAGTCTTCTGTCGTTGCAGTTCATGGCTCAAGCCCATCCATCAATGGAAAGAATAGCGAGTACGTCGTGTTTTGGCGGATGAAAAAAAACTTAGACCTCACACTGATGCAAAACAAGGATCGATCGCAGCCAACAAGACGGCCTCTGTCCAAGCCTACATCAAGACGGAGCGGCACCCAGGTCGTCACTCCAACTTTACGACCCAACGGAGCCTGTAAACTCCCGGCTTCAAAATCCCCTCTATGTAGCACAGCCAGCCCGAGACGCCGCTTTATTGCATCCGACCGCTAGTGCAACAACTACTAGCACAACTGTGTTGAAAGACACTATCTCGAGCAAGGATCTAGCCGGCGTCGGGGACCAGTTCTTGGCCGAACGGTCGGCCGAGAGTTCGGCCGAGAATGGTTGAAAGCTCCGTTGATTGAGTCCTCCGCTTTTCGGATGCACGAATCCAGGGAGGGATGGGTAGCATATCCTTCTTTACTTGTTGATCTCTTCTTCTCTTTTCTTTCCCCTACCAAGTTTTCTCCCAGCGCTAGATACCTAGGCCAAGAAAGGTTGGGCTGATGATCAATGTGCTCCCGTGATTGGCTTAAACCAGCAGGAACGAGGAAATGGAACCTCTGCTCTGTCAACGATACGGCTGTGTTATTTCCGTTGAGTTGCTCAGAAGTCTACCCCCCACCCCTTCTTCGAGCCCTTGGCCAAGCTCTGTCAACGGACTCGACGAAGCAGAGGCAGAGGGCAGTTTCTGAGTAAAGCAACGGAAATAACACAATAGTGGTGTAGCTAGAGTTTATAACCGACGGAAATAAATACATCAACACCTTAACAGCCGGAAATAACACTTGGCTTCACTTGGTTAAAAGGCTGCGGTCCTAGGAGCAACTGAACAGAAATAATACAGCCGTAACACTGGAGATAAGACTCATAGCCAACCCTGGCGGAAATGACACGACCGTAACACAGCTAACTTGTACTTGGCGGAAATAACACTTCACCACGTCAGCCGGCGGAAATAACACGAAGTTAAAGATACTGTGAAGCCAGTTCTGCCTTGAGCCACACAACTAGTTAAGGCTTGTCAAGCTGATTGGCAATATAGATCCCATCAAGAATGCGCATGACAGGATAATAGTCATTGGCGCGCTGTGTTACGCTGCGTTATCATCTGATGTGTGTACAAATAAG